GAGCCGAAGCACACCAAGCCATTCATCCAAATCAACACAGGAATGACTTCACCAAAATAAGATCAAGGCTTTGGAATGGCCCAGCCAGAGTCCAGATCTAAATCTGATCAAAAATCTGTTGGGTGATCTGAAGACGGCTCTGCACAGGAGATGCCCAGCCAATTTGAGTTAGAATTCTTTTTCAAGGAAGAATGGTAAAATATTGCTAAGTCAAGATATGCCAAACTGATTGACTCTTACCCAAAAAAAGTGCTTCAACTAAATATTACTTTAGGGGAATGCACACTTATGCAACCAGGTTATTGTACATTTTTTATTTTTCATTTTTTTCCCCTAAAATGATTGTTATTGTTTTTCACTTTCATTTATATGTTACAATTTCACAATAAAGGTAGAAAATGTTCTGACATGATTTATCTTGGTTTCATTTTTTTACTTCACGAAAACCTCCCATTTTTTTATATTTGTTGTTTGGTGTGTGACAAAACACATCACTCTCCTGCAAGTCTAACGATGTCGTGTAATCATGTAAAGCTTTTAGGCTTATGTGATCTAAAAGGTTATAGGCGTTGTCTTGCCTTGAGAGTGTGAGTTAGACTCGTTGGACTCGTTCTTTAACTCCATTTACAGCACTGAACTGCATTAGTGCAGAAGGAGCTTTGCTGGATCATGGAGGTGCTGAGCAAAGAAGAGTTGAAGAAAGCTGAGGAAGCGCTTAGACATTACTTTCCCCAGTCGCAGGAGGTCTGTAAACCACACTACATTATAATTGTTTCTGTAGGATATTTCTTGCCAGTCTTTGGCATTGTGCCACTCATTATGGTGCCAAATTTGTTTTACAGTTAGGCTATAGAAAAGTATTTTTCAATGAAAAATGTGTTTTTGAAAAGGACAAAAAATCCAGGGGGAAAAAAGAGACTGATTTAAAAGAATCATAATTCATAACTTTTAAATCATACATTAAATCATTGCAGTGTTCATGTGTGTCTGTGTACACCTAAATGAACACTGTACTGAGTTAACCTGCTGAGCTACATGAAGGAAAAAACATGATGGAAGTGATGCTGAAATAATTACAGTGGATAAATAATAATAAACAGTGGATTTAATATGCTATGTTTTAATAATGTTTTGCATTTTTTTTATTTGCTTATTGGAAATATTCTGCTGGATTATTACATGCTAAAAAAATCATATCAAAGATAAATTATTAATTTAGTTTAGCAGTTTTGAATCATTCACTAGAAATCTACTGTGATATAACTACTAAAATATTTTTTAATGCACTGCAAAATCCAGATCTTGAATTAACACCTACAAAGTTTATTTAATAGATAGTCCAGATGAACCCTGTAAGAGATTGTTTAGCACGGTTTTGCTCAGATTTTATAAGGCGGCGAACTTTGAACTTGAAGAGGAGAAATAAGTGAAGGACAAAAACCTAAGAGACAGTGATTTCCTTTTCCACCCCAGTTTCCATACCAGTTTAGCAATACTAGTATCCCAATACAATCTGGACGACAATACTTTTAAAATTGAAACTGCGACTATTACAACAATGACAACAACTACTACTACTACTACTACTACTAATAATAATAATAATAATAATAATAATAAAAAATATACCCACAAGCAGTGATCTGTAGGGTCCAAGCATTCCTAGCAAATAGTGCCCTCAGTGGTCAATTCTTGCCATAGATACATAGAACAAGAAAGAGACCATGACTATGAATATGACCATGAAGATGAATATACTTATTATGTTTTGTGATGATAGTTCAAGGCTAGTCATGTGAATTGCCTGTTGAAATCTAATTGACTGAAGTAGGCCATGAACCTACCATTCAAGTTTCATGATGACAGCTCAATAGTAATCCTGTCAAATGCCTGTCAAATGCCTGCTGAAATCTGATTGGCTAATGGCAGCCATTTTTTAAGTAATTAGGTCATCATAAAAAATCAGCTTACACATTAGCATATAGATGCACCATACCAAATTTCAGCTTGATGGGACTTGTAATCCCTTAACGCTGCCCCCTCTGAATGACCATGCACTATTCTTTGCAACTGCCCTCAGAATCTTGTCCTTATATGTCTTTCAAGTTTTGTGCGAATCCACTCAAGCAATCATGATTTATAGCTGTTTGAATAAATTAGGCTCATCCTTGTTAGAATTGATTGATTTGTGCCGGCCATATTGTATAAAAATGTCAACATATTTTTGATAATTATTGAGGTTCAGATAGTAGTGAGTCCCGCCCTAAACCTACTATTCAAGTTTCGTGAAAATAGCGGAATGCTAACCCTGTCAAATGCCTGCTACGTCTGATTCGCTGATGCTGGCCATGTTTTTAAGTAACTAAGTCATCATCAAAAATCCACTTACACAACAGCACATGGCAGCATACCAAATTTCAGCTCAATTGGATTTACAGTTCCTGAGAAACAATTATCTGGCCTTAGCTCCACCCCTATCAGTGAACAATGAACCTTTGCATATGACCTTAGAGTCTTGTCCTGTATATGGCTTTCAAGTTTCCATGCAAGCAATCATGAGTTACAGCTGTTTGAGTAAATTAGGCTCCGTCTCTTTAGAATTGACTGATGTGTGGTGGCCTTATTGTTTACAAATGTCAGCATGTTTTTGATAATTATAGTATTTTGACTGAGTAGTTTGACATCAAAGTTGTGAAAGGTAGGTCAAAGATCCTAGGTCTAGTTCACAAAAACCTGAGTGAATGTAGCTAAATGGTTCTTGAGGATTTTGTTGCTTGGGAGAACCCAAGGAATCAGTGGAAAAATAATTTCGTTTATAGGACTTAGGGTTCTTGAGATATGGACCAAAGCATAAAATCCTGCACCACTGGGCCAATCAGGCCAGAGGGAGTACTACCTATTGACCAAGTTTCATGTCTCTACGACTTCCTGTTTGGTCTGCATGATTTGTTTTAAGGCAGAAACTGAAGAAAAAGAAGGAGGAAGAGGAGGAGAAGAAGAAGAAAAATCCGGTGCTTGGAACCCTAAAAATCCTAACAATTATAATAAGATTCCAGTACCTTCGGTGCTTGGACCTCTAATAATGGGACAGTAAAGGGTGTCCACAGACCGATGCCCCAGCTTCAAATGTAAAAATTAAAAGCTTTAAAAGTAAAAATTTTTAAGCTTGTCATTTACGTCTAATTAAGTAACCATGTTAAATATAAATATGGCATTGTAATTACATGAAATTTATGTGTTTTATTAAGAAAAATAAATAAAAAAATTACAAATAAGCAAACTGACAAATAAACTTCTAAAGAAGCTAAAGTAAGACGTTGTACTTTTTGTCTTCAGGCTTATGGATATATTTTTCTGATGAACCGAGTAGAAGTTGACCCCACAGACGTGCTGGTGGACCAGTGGCCAGATTTCAGTGTGCTAATCGTCAAATCAAAACAGCAGCAGGTATTACACATGATGGCTTCAATGTGGAAATGATCTGGGCTTAAAATATAATACTCTGTGTTGGAATAATGGACAAAATTTTGACAAAAAGTAGTTATAGTTCAAAGTTTAAGGTTAACAGTTGACCTGTTTCACTCACATACAGAAAACAGACTTTGCGAAGGAGATATGCATTTTTACCAAGAATGAATCATCTCTCAGAAACATACTAATCAGGACAGATGTTCTAGACTGGAAGCAGTACCTCAATCTAAGTATTAATTTCTGACTTCTTATTACAGCAGTACAAAGACCCCCAACACAGAAAGTGATACTGTTTAACCTGCAACCTATAACATATCTGTTTAGGTGTTGATCTGCTACATGAGGAAATGTTAAAGGCTGTAGCAATGAACAAAGGTGTACCAGTGAAGGAAATATCTCGGTGCCACTTAATGAGTCTGCAGGATCCATCTAACCTTACACCTGACAGGTAACTGGCTTACTACCGGGCTCCTCGTGCTACAGTTAATCCACAAATTATGCAATATTTTAACCAGCGAGTGCAAAAACACTGCAAAGAATCTCACAGAGTAAGTAAATTATACATCAGATGGTCCCTTAAACCATTTAAAAGTGCTCATTAATACATCCTGCTTCAACAGGCACTTTTTACAGCTTCAGTTTGGAATCCTTCTACAGCTAGCAAAAGCATTCTCTGTTTTAACTCACTTGCATAGGCATCAGTTATTTTATTTGGGCCACAGGTATAGTCAGATTGTTCTGACCTTGAGTAACAAGATGAAATACACTCACCTTCCACTTTAATAGTAACACCTGTACCCCTGCTCATTCATGCAATTAGCCAGTCAGCCAATCAAGTGGCAACAGTGCAATGCAAAATATCATGCAGATACAGTGGTATCACAGAAACTGTAAACTGAAGAGGTCTTTTTCCAATTTTCAACTATCCAGTTTCAATGCCCACTTCTGTAGCTGACAGGAGTGGAATCTGATGTGGTCTTCTGCTGTTGTAGCACTATCTATCTATCTATCTATGTATATGTATATGTATATACGTATGTATGTATATGTATACACACACACACATATATGTGTATATATATATAGTGTACATATTTGGTTGGAGATCAAAAGATGAATATGAGATGATAGATCAGAGTTTCAGCTTTAATTTCCTGATATTTACATCTGAATGTGTTAAACAACTTGGCACATATGGTGGCAAAAGTATCAGCCGCATGTTTCAATATTTCTGATCACTTGAAAAATGGGGGGGTTCAAACAAAAGGTACCATATTCTAAGTTGTTTAAGACATCTAGATATAAATATCAGGAAATTAAAGCTGAAATTCTGATCTATCGTGTCATATTCATCTTTCGATCTCAAACCCAAATGTCTTTAGTGTATAGCAAAAACAAAAGAATTGGCCTTGCCATTCCAATACTGTCAGAGGGGACTGTATGTATGTACTGTATGTGTGTGTGTGTGTGTTTGTGTGTGTGTATACATATATTCACACTATAATATACATACATATATATGTACGTATATTATAGAGGACTAGTGGTTAGGCCATGGCACTCTCAATGCCGCGGCCTGGGTTCAATTCCTGGCCAGGGAACCAACCCCAGCCACTGGGGATGCACAAGACAGCACACTTCCAGTGCCGGTCCCAAGCCCGGATAAAACTGGGGAGGGTTGCGTCAGGGAGGGCATCTGGCGTAAACACTGTGCCAAATCAGATATGGGGACGATTGATCTGCTGTGGCGACCCCTAATGGGAGCAGCCGAAAGAGGAACAACAACAAAAACTATACATAAATATATACATGCATACATACATACATACACACACACACACACACACATATATACATACATACATACATGAGTCATTCTATATTTAGGGGTACATTTCATGTCAGCCAAAAAGTCAGGAAATCAGTATTCTTTTTTGATAAATAAACTAGGTGGTTGAATAATATATCCCCTTAATGTGCTAAATTAATTATTTGGCAAGCTTAAGCTCTAATGACTTTTTAAATATGTTAATGAAAATGAACATTTGATTCATTATTTTGTCAACTGTGTTCCGGACAAATGCTGTGTATGAAACATGAATGAAGTACCACATGTTTGATAACACATTTGTTTGAAGGTTTTTGAGTCTATTCACCAGAGTTTTTGAGGTTATCTGTCGAACTGATTTGAAAATATGAATTTGGGGCTTCATAATGGGCATTCTGTGGGATGCTATCATGAAGGATGAAACTTTTCTTCAACATAAATCCACAGTATGCTGAATTTAGTGTTATCCACCATCCTTACCCAAGACTTCCATCTCCAGAGATATCCCCATCTTTTTTTCTGACGGTTTAGTTCACATTTAAAAGATTTATGACATAAAAACCACACATAACACAGTTGACAGGAGTAACACAGTTGACAGGACACATTAGAAGAAAAAGAGAAAACTTTCTTTAAGATAAAAACTTTATTTTTATTCAACAAATGTAAGTACAAGCAATTAATCTGAGTTCAGTTAAAAAAAGATTAAAACATTACAGTGAAATGATTACAACTTTAACAACAAACAACAATTTTTAATCCATAGTGTCTATTGCAAACAAGAACAGGAAACAAGAACAGTCTGTCTAGTCCAGATGTGTGTTTCACTGGTTTCTGAGGCATGTCTCATTGGTGTCTGTATAATCCATATGTGTGTCTGTGATGTATCGTGTCTCTGTGGTTTCTATAACAGTACTTTCCAACTCATTTGCATTTCCAACTGATTGTATTTATTCTTCTTGTTCTTTTTGTTTCTTCTTCTCATTCTCTAAGTAATCCTTAACTGATTTTATAGTCAATCTTTTGTGTTTTCTTTCGTGTGCTTTCAGTCATTTTTTCTTTCAGTCGTTTCTTTTCTTTCAGTCGTGTTTTCTTTCTTTCTTTGTTGATTTCAGTCAGTTCACAAGTCTGAGATCTTAGACCATATGTCCCTGTCAATTTCCATATGACGTGAGGTCACAGAAGTAGGAGGAGGAATCATTCTGATAACATCTTCATGCAAATACCATAGGACATCATCTTGCCGTGGCCAGAAAAAGCGGTTGACTCCAATCCGGTGCATACATCTCACATTGACATGAGTTTCATTCAAATCTTGAATCACTCCAGGATAAATTTCATCATCATATTTAACACAGCACCACTGGCCGATGATGTCAGAGTTTTGCCAAGGAATTTCAGATGGATTCTGACTCTTGCCCTCCTGTGTGGATGCTGTTACCTGAACCTCGAAGGTAAAGGTTTTGGAGTTGTAACACTGACACTCCATGGTCTGTCTTGTTGAGCAAAGACAGCTCACATCACGGTAAATGATTTGTCCTGGGGTAAGTGTTACAACTTGGTGAATGCTCATGGTTGATGGCACCACTGGGAGATTATTGGGCATGCTCTTTATGGCCTCATCTATGTTCTCTTCACTGATGTAGAACAACTTTACTGACATCTGAGCATCCAGCAGTGCACCGAATAAGAGCTCAGCATTAGGGATGTCTTTTCCGTTTCTGACCAGCCTGTCTGCGGTCCTTTTTAAAAAGCCTCCAACGCCATCTGGAGCACGCTTGCCGTGGCTTGCCTCCAGAAAGTTCCAGGTGCCTGACTGAAACCCACACTGCTGCAGCTTAGTACAGAATAGATAGAAATTGCCTTTCTGCCTGTACTGTGTGCTTGGCCCATCACTGAAAAAATGCACCACAGTAACATTTGGATAGGAAGACTTAACCAGGTCAAGTACTGGGGATAGATGGGTCCATATGGCAGCAGGGCCTTTCTCTTTTGACGGGCTGATTGTGCCAAAGCACACATGTTCATCCACTCCACCAACATGTAGAACTCCAGTGTGGAGTGTTGCCTGCTGCTGGCTGGATGCAAAATGTACAGCTTGGATTTCAGAGGAGTACTTGCAGGCGTAATTTTCAGAAAAGTCTACATGAATTAAGCATTCACGATCTGTCATGTTCTTCTTTAGTTCCCGGAAGTAGGTGAATTGCTGTTTTATGTTAAAGAGATGTCTTTTGAAGTTTGTAAGCTGGTGTTGGAAGAGCTCGAGGAGGTTCTGCAAACTCGTCTCTGTCCTCTTTTTCACTGTGATCTTAACAGGCGCCTTCTCTTTTTTACCTTCCTTGTTCTTCTCTCTGACAACAGTCTCTGTTGTCCACTGTGTGAAGAAAACACTTACTTGCATGTCCCCTTCACTTGCAACTGGGAAGTCTTTATTTTTGCAGGCAGGGCATTCACTGTACATACAATTCTTTGAGTTTGAGTCACAGCATACTGACTCTGCCATTTCCTCCAAGTCAGTACCCCCAATGAATCGGAGAGAATGCAGCTTCTCTACAAGAAAACCAAGATTCTCATGATTCCCTGTCTGCAATGGATGGCTGGACTACCCAGAATGGGCGCATACGGCAGAACAAAGAATATGAGATTTTGCAGTCAGGACTCTCAAGGAGGAATCTCCTATGCAGGTTTTTCATGGTGTCGTTTAAGAACCTTTTCTGTTTCTTTATCTTCCCTCTTGTTATTGTTTGTGATTTTCCAGCTGTGAGGCGACTATTTTCATCCCTTGTCATGAAAGATAGCACTTTATTGTGTAGTCTGTGACACAAGGATCTATAGTTTAACTTGTTGGAGAGGATGGATCTCTCACTGTTGGTCAGCTGTTTCCTCGAAATTGCTAGGGCCTCCTGAAGTTTGTATTTTAACTTGTATTTTTTCAAGATCTTTCCTGTCACCAGAGCTGCAATGATCTTCCTAGTATTTTTGTGTTTGGTAGAGGCATACGTTTTGCTGATGTTGTGTATTAGGGCGTGATGGAAAACTAAAGTTTTGCGGACTTCTCTAGACACGGGTATCCTTCCTAACAGGCGCCGGGTTTTTGATCTGGGTGACTCTGTATCTTGCTGTAGTCTTTCACATCTTTTCCTGAATTTGCCAGTTTTTCTTTTCTGTTGCTTTAGTGCTTCCTTCAGGGCCTGAATCTCCCTGTACAACTTAGACTCCCTTCTCCTGACTTTTTTCCTTCCAGCTGTTCTCTGTCTGAAATAATACACAAATAATTTTTTATTGATCACGTGATGTGTTCATGATCATCATGATCATGTGTTCTATGCCTACCAAAGAATGCTAAGCTGATATTCTGGTCTTTTCATTGTGATTTCATAATAAAATCTGTTGTTGAACCTATTATCTGCTCAATAAACCTGTACCTCGACATTTGAGACTGAGGACCAACTTCAGGACTCTGAGGTGGAGTAACCTGGTTCTCTATCACTTTCTTTCTCTCTCTGCTCTGGCGCTGGGCTCTTCTCCAGTATGCTCTTTTCCTTCTCTTCTCCCTCTCACTTAAATCTTTCATTGTCTTCACCTTTCCTAGCTTTCTGTCATCATGCCACTTCTCTCTGTGTTTCTGTAAATATGCAGCCCTTCTCTCAGGATCAGCATCACGCCGAGCCCTATACTGGCGCTGTTTCTCAGCAGCAGATAAACCCATCTCCCTAAAACACAAATCACTCTGTTTAATATTATGGTAGGCTTATTTCAAATCATGGAGTCATATCGAATTTATGAATACTCCATGAAATCATTGTAATATATAGTGTTTACGGTAAGTATGAACTCAGGATCCATAAAGCATTTTAAATACACACACTTTATAATAATATATATTATAACGTTAATGAATATATTATATTATTATAAAGGTAAATGAAGTTTTATAATGCATCATGACACTTCAAGTTGTAAGGACTTATACAATAACATCATAACACTTTATCAGTCATGACTAAGCAGAAATAGATATATGTCAAATCTATAATAATATATAGGTTTAAGTCAATCATGAGGAATTCTGAATGCTTTATAACCCTTGACAAATGTGAATATAACGTGTATATAATATTATGGATACTGAGTTCATAGAAAGTGTGGCCGTGATTAGATCAGTTAAGTTTATCCATTATAATGCAAATCATGGTTTTATATATATATATATATATATATATATATATATATATATATATATATATATATATATATATATATATATATATACCCAACTAACCTTAACTCTCTACAGGTTACCTTTTCAAGTGTCATCAGTCAAGGAATCTCACGCTGCTCTGATCAATAGCAAATGGAAATTTGGCATGGGTGAATTCACTGAGCCCCTGCTCAGGAGCTTGATCAGGAACTTCCCTTCGTGTTGTGTGCTCGACTCAGAGGGTCAGCCGGTGTCATGGATATTGACCTACGCTTCCTGTGCGATGGGAATACTGTACACACTGCCGGAGCACAGACAGAAAGGCTACGCCAAAGCCCTGGTCACCATATTGGCAAAGAAACTTCATTCAGAGGGCTGCCCAGTCTACTGCTTCATTGAGGAAGCAAACCTACCATCCTATAGGCTCTTTACCAGTTTAGGATTCATTGGGGATCCATATTTCAGGGCTGCTAGTTTGGCATCAATCAAGTGTCTATGACTCCATGAGTACACTGGGACGAGGGACATTTCTGTTAGGATCACATGAATGCCAGTTATTAGGTTAGGTTATT